TTTGACTTTTTGGGTCTGGGTTACCTCACTCAACATGATTTTCTTCTAGCTCTGTTCATTTCCCTGCAAATTTCATATTTTAACAGCTGAATAATATTCCATTGTGTAAATCTACCACCTTTTCATTATCCGTTCATCTGTTGATGGACATCTAGGCTGTTTCCATTTTTTGGCTATTGTGAGTAGAGCAGCAGTGAACATGGATGAGCAAGTGTCCGTGTGGTAGGATGCAGAGTCCTTTGGGTGTGTATCTGAGAGTGGCATAGCTGATTTCTATATTTATACTAGCGTCACACTGGCTTTTATAGTTACAAGTTTGCACTCCCAGCAGTGATGGATGAACATCAGGATGGTCAAGGCGATGCTAGGTGTTAATGCCCATCTTTGCTGGGTGGGTGTTCCAGTCCTTGGTTTCTTTTTTTTTCTTTTGATATTGTTTGTTTGATTGATTATATGTTTTTGAGACAGTAGTCTGACTGTCCTGGCACTAGCTCTTGTAGACCAGGCTGGCCTCGAACTCACAGAGATCTGCTGGCCTCTGCCTCCTGAGTTCTGTGATTAAAAGCGTGCACTACTGCCAGGCAACAGCAGCAAGGATTCTTAACTGCGGACACATTTGTATGCCCCAACTCTGACATTAGCATGGGGTTTCTGTCTCCTCACTGTTTCAGGGATTGGGGAAGTAGCTCAGTGATGAAGCACATGCAGGAGGCCATGGGGAGAGAACAAAGAAGCTGCCCCACCGATGACAGCCCTGCGCTGGAGAGGTTCTGTCAGCTGCCCCACCTCTAGCCCTGCGCTGGAGAGGTTCTGTCAGCTGCTCCACCTCTAGCCCTGCGCTGGAGAGGTTCTGTCAGCTGCTCTACCGATGATAGCACTGTGCTGGAGAGTTTTATGTCAACTTGACACAAGCTAGACTTATTTGAAAGGAAGGAACCTCAACTGAGAAAATGCCTTCACTAGGTCCAGGTGCAGGGCCTTTTTTTAATTCATGGGGGGAGGGCCCAGCCTGTTGTAGGTGGTGCCATCCCTGGGCTGGTGGTCCTGAGTTCTATAGGAAAGCAGGAAGAACAAGTCATGATGAGCAAGCCTGTAATCAGCAGGCCTCCATGGTCTCTGCATTAGCTCCTGTCTCCAGGTTCCTGCCCCTTTGGGTTCCTGTCCTGACATCCTTTGATGATGGGGATGGACTGTGGCGTGGAAGTGTGAGCCAAATAAACCCTTTCCTCCTCAACTTAATTTTTGGTCATGTTTCATCATAGCAGTAGTAACCCTAAGACAAGCCTCATACCTTTATCCCAGCCAGTATAAGAAAAGAAGTGGGCTGGAGAAATGTCTCGTGGTTAAGAGCACTGGCCACTCTTCTAGAGGACCAGGGTTCAATTTCCAGCACCCACATGTAGCTCACAACTGTCTGTGACTCCAGTTCCAGCGGATCTGACATACGTGCAGGTGAGACACCAATGCACATAAAATCAAAATAAATCTAAAAAAAAGTACACTATGAAGTCAGGCATAGTGGTACACACCCTTAATCTCAGCACATGGGAGGCAGAGACAGGCAGATTTCTGTGATCTTTTGATTTGAGGCCAGCCTGGTCTACAGAGTGAACTCCAGAATAGTCAGGGCTCATGGTCAGACTCTGTCTCCAAAACAAACAAAATAACAGCCTCCCCCTTTGGGAGTACTTTATGGAAGTTGGATAGACATCATTTCTGTTCATAAGTGGTCAAGATTTAATTATGGCCATTCTTACCAGTTGGAGGGAAACAAGAGCATGTAGGGTTTTGCTGTACAAAGAGATGAAAATCAGGAAATCTGCTAGCAAAGGAGGAGAGGAGAATGGGTTTTAAGGGGTAAATGACAGTGTCTGCCACACAAGAGTGCGTTATTGGGTTAGGGAACCAACCATGATTGTGTTACCTGATTGAATAGGCTTATCTATGATAGACTAAAACTACTTTGTGAGTTTGGCAGGATTAAAAAGGATTATAGATGCAAAATCTCTGGGGCTCAGCAGGGACTCAATCCTTGTGAGTCTTGATTTGGATTTGAAAAGGAAAACCCAAAGGACTGGACTCAGGGACTGCCTTCAAGGAAACAGCCCTCATTGGCCGGCTCATGTCTGTGGGTGGGAAACTTTGTCTCATTCTATAGTCACAGCTCATCAGGATGAAATCAGAAGGGATAAGCCCTCATTTACATGTTCCTGCAGCTGGGGAATACAGGATAAGTCTTCCATTCAGACTGTAGGTCTGCCTGCTGAGATCCCAGCACCCACCTTCACTACCGCTGGGCAGGTCGTATTTCTTGCCTTTGAAATGGGAATAATAGACTTGCTGTGAAGTTGAGGTAGTTCATGTCAGCACCTGGCACGTGTCAATATACTATCTATGTCAAAGAAACATGTTTCACGGTGTGTTTCGGTCTTCAGAATCACCAAACTTTGAGCCAGCCATTGTGGCCCAGACCTGGTATCTCAGCACGTCGAAGGTGAAGTCAGGAGGATCAGACATTTTTGGCAGCATAAGTTTAAGAGCAGCCTAGGCCGCCTGAGATGCCTTGTATCTCCACCTGGCACCTAGATCCTGTGGGCCCTTGAGTTCATGTGCACCTGCCCACACCAGAAACCCTCAAAAACAAAACCAGCCTACTTGGTTGCAAGTGTCACCCAGCCCCTTGGCATCCTCTAACATATTTAGGGTGGAACATTCCACCCCAAGTCCCCTCCTCTGGGAGTTGCCGCAGTCCAGACTCCACCTCCAAGAAAGCCCGCCAAATGGTGACTGTTTGGTCAGAAACATCACCTCAGCTCCCTGGCACCCCTTTAAATGTTTGTTTGTTTATTTATTTATTTATTTATTTATTTATTTATTTATTATGTATACAATATTCTGTCTGTGTGTATGTCTGCAGGCCAGAAGAGGGCACCAGACCTCATTACAGATGGTTGTGAGCCACCATGTGGTTGCTGGGAATTGAATTCAGGACCTTTGGAAGAGCAGGCAGTGCTCTTAATCACTGAGCCATCTCTCCAGCCCCCCCCCGTACCCCTTTATACGAAGAGTCGGGGGCCTCATCCCAGTCCCCTGGCATCCATTTTTGGAATGCTGGGCAAAGAACTCCATTCCAAGTCCCCTCCTCTGTCCAAACTCCACCTCCGAGAAAACTGGCCAAATGGTGACCCCTCCCCAGGGAGGGTCAAGCCACTCCCACAGGCTATTTAAACTGCCCCCAGAGAATAAACATGTGGTCTCTGCTTTTCCTCTCAGGTGGTCATTTTGGTTTTCCTCCCCTCTCCCCCCCCCCCCGTGTTTTCCCGGGGCCACCTGGGAGTGCTGGCACCCTTTAAACCTGGGTAATTTTAATTTGGTCTGATTTGATCTTATTGGGATTATTTGCCGTGGCAGAGAGGTTTGTAGGGCTAGAAAATACTTAACATTTGTAGGTTCCCACGGTGTGTGTGGGTGTTTTCCCTCTGGCCCAGGCCCACGTGTTGCGCTCTTCACCAGGCTAAGATCAGCTTTGTCTTGGTGAGTTCTCCTTTGTGAGTACATGGCTCTAGGGTCCAGGGACCATTTATGTTTGCCGATTTTCGGGCTGTTCTGTGCCAGGTGCCAGCGCAAGCAGCGAGGCGGTTCTTGCTGAGGTGGACTACATGGATAGAGTCATTTGCCACACATCTCTCATGAACCCCCTCAACTTCCCACCTTTTGACTCAAGAACCTTGTCATAGTGGACGCATTGCGACAGGCTTGAGTCCCAAGATTTGGCATAGACTTCTAAAATGGACTCTTGCAATTCTAAGTTGGATCCTCTACCGCCCTGGGCTGCCTTTTACAAAATCTTTATGAACTGGGACGTCCCGTACAGTCTGAACCAAACAGCTTTCTCTATGCTCTGAATTGGCCTCAGTATGACCTTGACAGCGGGACACAGTGGCCACCAGAGGGAACTCTTGGCTTTTCCATCCTCCTAAATGACCATTTGGCACGATATTGCCCTAGGCCTCTGCCACCTACGAGGCCATGCCCTATCTGCCAGCAGCCTGGACACTGGAAATCACAATGCCCCGTGCGGGCTCATCCTCTATGCCACGCCATGGAGGTCCAGCCTCACCAACATCGGCAAGGGAGACTGCAGCCTTCGAACTACTCGCCTTGCAGAGGATTGACTCCCATCACCCTCTCCAAGCCTAGGGTAATGCTGCAAGTATCCCGAGGGCCACCCGGGACCTGGCATCCATTAAACCTAAGCTTTTTTTAATTCAGTTTGATTTGGTCTGATTTAGATTATTGTGTCGGTAGAGAGGCTTATTGGGCCGGAAAAACTTTACACAGAAGCCAACTAAAAACAAACAAACAAACAAACAGCTTAAGACTAAATTTTATTTTCTCCAGCAATTCTGTAAGGACTCTTGAGTAACATGTAAAAGTGAAGCCACTCACAGACTAGTGAAATCAGAAAATAAAGCTAGTGAGGTTTTGAATAAGACCTGGGAACCTTGGACTTGAAGTAGTTAGACGAGTAATCTAAATTTCCAGCCAATACCACTGCCTTATAAATTCTATTTCCTACATTAAATAAGTAAAACAGGCATGGGAGGGGCCCACAGGACGACTTGGAGAGCCTGCCAAGCCTGACAAACTGACTTTGATTCCTGGATCCTACATGGTGGATGGAGAGAAAACGGACGCTCTCCAATTGTCCTCTGAACTCTACTTGTGCACCAGGGGCACATGCGCGCCTCCTCCCTCCCGCCCCCATACCTTTTAATTAATTAAAAAAAAGAGCTGGGCACAATGGTACATGCGTGTAATGCCAGCCTCCCACGAAGGAAGCTGCAGGCAGAAGAGTTCGAGGAGAGTGCTAGGTAGTAAACAAAGCCTATCTGTACCTAGGCTTGAACTCTTGTAGCGCTAAGGAAAGGCGAGAATGCCAGGCGGAACGAAGGTGTGCGGTACGCCTGGGACACGGAACTTACGACTGGACGCAAACGGCGCTGGGGGCCGGGCAGGCCGTGCGCATGCGCCGGCCGGGCGGACTGCAGCGTGCCGAATGTCCGGGCTGCGGGCGCTGCTGGGCGTCGGGCTGCTGGTTGCGGGCTCGCGCCTGCCCCGGGTCGCAGGTCAGCAGAGTGTGTGCCTTGCAGGGCCTGCCTGGTGGGGGACGCCGCGCCGGGGCTCGGAGACCATGGCGAGCGCCGCGGTGAAGTACCTGAGGTACGGCCACCTTCTCCCACGGGGGCGGGGCGGGACAGGCCGCGCCCCCAGCGCCCCGACGGCGGACTCAGGCCAGGACTTCCCTCAGCCAGGAGGAGGCGCGGGCCGTGGACGAAGAGCTATTTAACGAATACCAATTCAGCGTGGATCAACTCATGGAGCTGGCCGGGCTGAGCTGTGCCACGGCCATTGCCAAGGTAGGTGGCGCGGTGCAAAGCCTTTGGGAGGCATGGGTGGGGAGGCCTCCCGCGGTGGAGCAGAGGGCCGTTACTGCCAGACCCTTTGCGCCTCTGCCTTCAGGCTTATCCCCCCACGTCCATGTCCAAGAGTCCCCCTACCGTCTTGGTCATCTGTGGTCCTGGGAATAATGGAGGGGACGGCCTGGTCTGCGCGCGACACCTCAAACTTTTTGTGAGTATATGAGCTAGCCTTTGTGAAAAGGTATAAGCAGTCTGGAATCAGAGATTGAATGGCTACTTTCCTTTCCAACCAGGGTTACCAGCCAACTATCTATTACCCCAAAAGACCTAACAAGCCGCTCTTCACTGGCCTAGTGACTCAGTGTCAGAAAATGGACATTCCTTTCCTCAGTGAGATGCCCCCAGAGGTAGGTGGCTTATTCCTCATCTCCCCAGTAAGTACTGCCTCTGCCCTTCCCTTCATGGTTTCAGACCGAGTTGGCTTGCCTAATGTCTGCCCGCCATAAAAGTTGCTCTCCAGAGTAGCAGTGCAGGAGCCCCAACATAGTGTATGCTCCAGCACTTCCCAGCACTAGCAGCTCCCGGGCACCCCTGTTTTGCAGTCAGCGTCTTCCCCAGCGTGCAGTTATCACAGACCTGACCCTCAGGGCCTCATCCTACGCCTTTTCTGTAGACGCATGGATTTAGGAGTGGGAAATCTGAAACTTAAAGAATTAACTTACTCTATAGATGGAGATACTGACATTCAGAGAAATGGTTTGCCCAGAATCACAGAATCGGAGCAAGGCAAAGCTAAGGCAGAATTGGTCCCTTCTGGCTTCCAGGCTCAGGCTCCCTACACTGTCAGCCCCTTCCTCCCAGAGGAAGCAGGCAGGCAGGCAGGCAGGCAGGCACTCAGAACATATGCCTGAATTCAGAATGGCCACAGTCTGCACCTTAGGAAGCAATTATCTCCATACCTCTGTAGTCTGTGGGTGCAGGGACAGCCCTTCCTATGTGACAATACATTCCTGATATTCTTCTGCTCCCCTGCAGCCCATGATGGTTGATGAGCTGTATGAACTGGTGGTGGACGCCATCTTTGGTTTCAGCTTCAAGGGTGATGTTCGGGAGCCATTCCACAGCATCTTGAGTGTCCTGAGTGGACTTACTGTGCCCATCGCTAGCATCGACATTCCCTCAGGTGCTGGGACCCAGATGGTGCGGGGGTCTGGTGTTCCACCTGTCTTCAGGCTGGTACCCAGAGGAGTGGATTCTTGACCCACAGCAGAGACCAGATCTAAAATAATCTGAATGTACCTTTCCATCCCCACATTAGGGCTGGGGAGCAGAGTTCATGCTGACCCTGTGGGAAAACCCAAACCTGATAGTACTGGACTAAGAGTTTCCCTGATCATCTGTACTTCCTCACCACCTTCTCTCTTCAGGATGGGATGTAGAGAAGGGAAACCCTGGAGGAATCCAACCAGACTTACTCATCTCACTGACAGCTCCCAAGAAGTCTGCAGCCCATTTTACTGGCCGGTATCATTTCCTGGGGGGACGTTTTGTACCACCTGCTTTAGAAAAAAAGTACCAGCTAAACCTCCCATCCTACCCTGACACAGAGTGTGTCTACCTTCTACAGTAAGGGAGGTGGGCGGGCAGGTTTCTAATAAAGGCTTGGTGCCGTCTCTCTTCAAACTGGAGTCTTCTGGCCTTAATAATTATCAGCAGGCTACACTTCGTTTGCAAAAACAGACCAGGCATCTGTAAGCAACAGAAAATAACTCCATACCCAGGAATGAAAGATTTGTGATACGCAGGGAGTTAGATGATACCTCTAAACAATTTCAGCTTAGCATTGTAGCAAGACCCCAAGAGGGTAACAGAGCTTCTTCAAAAGTCTCCAAGGGCCGTCTAATTTGTTTTCAGAATGTCACATGCTGGAAATGATGATGTTAACTGGGAATGACCTCATTTAATCATGATTAGAAACAGGCAGCCCAGCCCATACATCCAAATGTGTGCTTTTCTTAATCTTCACAGTATTTACAAATGAAGACATTCTGCAGGGTATATTAGTACAGGCCGAGGTAGAGGCAGGTTGATCTCTGAGTGCTAGGAAAGCATGAGCTATATTAGAGAAATCCTATCTCAAAAAACAAAAGTCTTTTCACATATGTCTACATTTTTAGACTTTTACCAGAGACACTTCTTCAGATAGAAACTCTTATCCTAATTTCTCTTCCATCATCCTTTAGCTGGGCACCAGGGTCTGTACTTTTTGGACAGGACATTGTTCAGGGAATGTCTCCCCTTCAGCGGACTGGTGCTCCTTAGCTGCTTGCAGAGGGGCAAACCCAGGCTACCCCTGAAGAGGAATCAGCAGGGCTGCACTGGATACCTCCGGTCCCTCTTCTGCTTCTTCTTGGCTCTCTGGTCAGTGTTGATGCCAGCTCTCTCCTTTGGATTTGCCTGACTTCTCTCACCTTCATTCTCTACTTCCCAAGTCCTGCCATCATCATCTTTATCGCTTACATCCAAGACCACCTCCTCAAGACACTTCTGTCTTTTCCTCTTGCCTCTCTTTGTTAGGCCATCCTTCCCTTCTCCATCTTGGGTGTCCAAGTCCTCCCCACAGTGCTGCAGCTTCTTGCTGCTTCTCCACGGGTCTGTGCCTGCTCCACTGTCTACTGCCTTTGGCCTGCCTGTCACATTTCTGCCTCCTTTATCACAGACTTCCATCTCCCCTTCTTCTTCATGGTGCTGCCTCCTCTTTTTCTTCTTTTTCCTAGATGACTGATCAGACTGCACTGTGCTCAGCTCTCTAGGCCCACTTTCTCCTTCAGCCTCTTCCTCCCCACTTCCTACAGCCATTCCCTCTTTCTCTTCTTTCCGGCTCCGTTTCTTCTTCCTGCTTTTCTTAACACTCTGGTCAGTGTATTCTAGGAGTGCTTCACCTACGTTCTTTTCAGGTGTTACAGCCTCTTCCTCCTCTCTCTGTTTCCTCTTTTTTTTCTTCTTTCGGGAGGGCTCCCTGTCAGTCTGTGGTTGAGAGGTGCCCACATCCTCTGAGCCTTTGAACCGAGCCAGGAAGGCCTGCTCTTGGGCCTCCAGGCGAGCAAGTTTGGCCTTCATTGTGATTCCAATCCGGGCAGCCCTAAGAGATGGGTCCAAGTCAGCATAAGAAGTTAGGAATAGAGGGGAGGGCAGCTGCCTAACTTCAAACACAAATGCATCAACAACAGCAATATTTCCCTGGAATGGAAATAACTGAGAGGTGGCACCGGCTATTCTAAAGCATAGGCAGAAAAGATGGGAAACCCAGAAGGCGACCACAACTTACTTGTGTGCTGTTCGCCCTTTACAGGCTTTGAGTAGCATCTCATCAGTCAGACTGTAGGGGCAGATGACAAATCACAAACAGATGGTGAAAAGGCTTGATTTTTTTCTGTCTAAAAAATGTACATTTTCATTATTTCTTATTCAAAACCTGGTACTTTTTTGAAGTACTAAGAATACAAAGAATAGCCCGTCTATTTAATTCTACAACCTCCCTTCGAAGAGCCCAGTCAAGCATTAGGCTTACTTGTTCATCCTCTTAAGATGCCAAGGTCTCTCCTCCCACATGCCCTCAATACCAAATACAGTCTCACATCTTTGGAGGCAGAGGCTCGTGGCTGTCATCACTGCTGCTCGCTCTGTCAGGCTTCTCCTCACCTGAGGTCAGTGTGGCTGTCTGGAGGGAAAGGACCATGGAGATGGATGAAGCCAACGACACCGTTACCAACTCTCCTCCCTTTAAGAAGCCCTACAATTCACCACTGTGCCCTTGCAGAGCTGTGCAGCCTGCGTATTTCAATTTGGACAGGAGATGGGCCCGTATTTTTACTTTGTATGGCGGCCAGAAAAAAACCATCAGAAAAAAACTTTTCTTGTCTTTTGATTAATATGGATTTTAAAAGACTGTGATATGTTAAATTGTGGATTTATTGTTAATTCCCACTCTAAAATTATGGTATTGACCCGATAATGTTTATAACTGCTTATAAAATGTTAAGAAAAGTTTGACAGGCTCTATAAACGTTTGGATTTATTGTTAATTATGGTATTGACCTGATAATGTTTATAACTGCTTATAAGATGTTGAGAAAAGTTTGACATGCCCTATAAATGTGTGGGTTTAATGCATATGTTAAACATTTTAGATTTTGATACAATGTAAAACATTCAGAGATGCTCTAAACCAGCTAAAAAACCATTTTCAACTCAGGTGATCCTCCTCTCCTTTAAATAGGAGACTATAGTCTTTAGGAACATGATTATTCATAAAACATTATGATTTCTCCTGACAAGAAAGTATGGCTCCAAGACACAGAACCCAAAAGTTCTCTCTCTCCCCTAATCTCTTTTGTTCACAGAAGTCAGCAGTCAGAGACAGGTTTGAAGCTTCTCCCCAGATGCCTCCAACAGGCGCTCACATAATTAATATGCTTGTTCTCCAAAGGCAGACGCCATCATCTGTCCTGTGGCAGAAGCACAGGTTTTATTAAATTAATAAGAAGGAGCGAATTGTAGGCCCATGTTATACAGGTCCACATTTCTACACTGTATGGCGGCCAGAATTTCAGGCCACAGTTTGCACCTGCCACACAGGAGGTGGTTACCCAGCCTTTCCAGACAAACTGAGGCCATCCTAAACAAAGGTCAGGATATGCTAATCTCGCTCTGCTCCTTCTTTGCAATTTAGGAGGTCGTCTGGGAAAGGAGGTGTTAACTCAGTCTGCTTGACAGAGCAGGCATACAGAGCAGCCATAGATAGGAAGATGTGACAAAATGGACATAGGGAGGTGTGGACATGACCTCATCATTCTCCCCGCTACCTAGGAAACAGACTGCTAATGAATTTCCCCTCAGTTTACGTTTTGGTATAAAAGCTGTTTGGAGAATAAATGTGGGTGAATTTTCAGGATGTGAACTCAGGATTTCATGAGGGATCCCTGAAAACTCCCTCCCGATACAGCCATGTGAGTTGTGCCTCAATTATTCCCACGCCTCCCCTATGGTTTGAGAAACAATTTAGGTCTTGGCTGGCCAGACCATGACATAGCAGCCAGGGCTTCTCTGGCTCATAGATGGCTGACTGTAGCACACGCAGGGAAAAGCGTTTCCAGTTAAGTTTTCATAGTGGAGTAGGTGCCAGGAGCTGACAAAAAAGGCAGCATTCCTATTCCCAGTATTTTTGTTTAGTAGATGAACAGAACCTTTATGGGCCTTGTAGCTCAGGACCGAGTTGAAGGACAGTGAATGGGTCCAGACGGGGAGACAGCTCAGCTGGTAACAGCACTTGATGTGCAAGCGTGAGGACCTAAGTGGGGATCTCCAGCATCCACACAATGCTGGGCAGGCATGGCTACCCACCTGTGATCCCAGCATGCAAGAGGTGGATTCAAGTGAGAGACCCTAGTTTAGTCAAGGAAGATACCCAGTGTCAGGCTCTGGCCTCTATATGCATATACACGCATAAAAATAAACAGAAAAAAGAATGAGACGAATCTAGTCCAGATGTAATTACATGAGCAGTTAGGATAAATGTTGCCCTTCCCACATCAGATAGCTCAGGCCGGGGTTTGAGTAGTTTCTAGAAGGTGCTTATGTATAATCTCAGTCTGAAAGTCAAGAAACGGTTAGCAGGTAGAGAAAGGGCAGGAGGGAGAACATAGCTTCTTGAAGAAGAAACAATAGACCTGCTTCTGTCCCAGAGACACAGGTGGGAGTGAGCCAAGAGGGACAAATCACAGCCATCCAAGCCGATCTCGTCAAAAAGGGTGGAACCAGACTGCGGCGGTGCACGCCTTTAACCCCAGCACTAGGGAGGCAGAGGCAAGTATATCTCTTGAGTTTGAGACCAGCCTGGTCTACGGAGTTAGTTTCAGGATAGCCAGGGCTACACAGAGAATCATTTTTGAAAAACAAAGGATCATGATCCGATTTGGGTTTCAGAGAGAACCCTGCGGATGTTTTGTAGAAAGTCAGCTAACTGTACTGGAAACTGAGACCAGAGGCAAAGAGTTTAGAAGCCAACAGATGTAGAAACTTGGGAAGGAAGCCCCAAGCACAGGTTTGTGCTCCTAACTGCTGGCTTTTTACAGCTGCAGTAAAGAAGCTGGAAAGCCCGGGTTCTGTTCTTTTTCCTTTCGAAGCCATCTACGGGTTCCTCAGCATTCTGTGTTTCACCCTTTTGGTCACATATGTAAAATAAGGATCAGGCCCCATGGGAGATAGGAACCCAGTAAAGAACTGCACTTCTCATTCTGGTACCTTCACAAACTTCTGGTACAGCAGATTGGGCTTGGGGTGATTACGCTGGGTGGTCTCCGTGGAAAGACGCCTGATCTGCACTCCGTCCTGTCGGGAAGCATCGGTTGAGAAAGCAGCATGCTGTACCTCCCTGTGGCACCCCAGACACTTTCATTCATCAGTGTACCTGACAAACTCATACCTTCCCTGTGTCCACTACCAGGCTGGCTGCAGTCTTGTTGAAGAGATCACTCCACCAGTGGTTTGTAAACTCCTTGGCAGGGTCATGTCCCACCTCCAGGTAAATAATAAATGAAAGTCACAGTCTGAGCACCGCCCCGGCCCTCATGGGTGCCCTCTCACACTCATGCTGGTCATTTTCCAGGCTTACCCCATGGGTG